GGAAGAGGACTCTGCAGGAGGCTCCCCAAGTATGAGCCACTTGGACTCCAGCCCTGGCAGGCTGCTCTGTGCTGGGGCAAGTCTGGGAAGAAAGGCGCACAGCTAAGCGCCTGCAACTGACCACTGACCTCCAGCTTCCATGTTTGCATTTCAAAGCCATCAGAGAAATGTAATTTACTTTGAAGGCAAGGTTATATTCGAAGCAGACTGGCCTCTCAACAAAGGGACAATGACCACTGCCTGCCTGATAAGCATCCCCCCAGGAGAGAGACTATCTGCCAGGGAGTGCGGGGCAGAGTGGCAGCTAAGTAAAGTTTTTCTGCATGGGAAAGCCTTTGAAGAGTCTAGAGGCCTCACCTAATCCAAATCACTGCAAGAGTTTTGAAGTACTCTGTCAAACTGAAGCGAAGCTGTTTGCCACAGAATTGACTTGGTTTGAGGAGTTGCAGGGACTGAAATGGTTTTAGTTTCCAACTTCCTTAACTGAAAAGCATCAATTTGATGACCATATTTTCTGAATACAAACATCTGGATTTAACCTAGGCTTGTCCCCTGAAATACAAGGGGATATTATCACGATCTAGAGATGACCATAAATCTAGTAGGAAGGGTAGGAAAAGTGGAAGATACCTTTGATTTGGGTGATTTTTGCTTTCTCCCCATAAACTAAAGCAATTTAACTCTTCTTAGGGGCTCTGCCAGCAATATTGAGGCTGGAGGGACCAGAGGAGAGAGAGCACAACATGAAGTATAAAATTCCGCCATCTCCATTCAAACACCAGCCTGGAGGTAGGAGAATGAATTAGGTGGTTGGTCGTTTTTCTCCCAAAGCCAGGATCCAATGACTCTGGGCTTTGGAAGGTAATGGAATTGAAAGTTCCGGAGGCTGTCTGGTGCTTTGGCTAAAATTCCTAGCATAAGGAACCTTTTTGGGTGAGGAAGATGACTCTCATTCCGGTTACGGGAGAACAAATCTTTGTCTTTTGTTTACCAATCCGATCCTCCATCGTGGATAAAGCAGTGCTATCCAGGAGCAGCAGAGCTCGCCCAGGGGAGATGGGCAGGGCCAACCTCCCAGTACCCAAGGAGGGCCTTGAAGTTTCCCATTTCACTGAGCTTGAAAAATCACCAACCACTCCAGTCTCCCTGGGTCATGTGCAGGCTGGGGATGATTGTAGAACAGATACAGCTCTGACTCACCTACAGTGGAATAACTAAAAGTGACTTTTCATATATGGTACAGTCAGAATGAATACCTAATGACCAGGTGCAGTGGCTCACGCCTGTAATCCCAGCACTTTGGGAGGCCAAGGCAGGCAGATCACTTGAGGTCAGGAGTTCCAGACCAGCCTGTCCAACATGGTGAAACCCCATCTCTACTAAAAATATAAAAATTAGCCTGGCGTGGTGGCGCATGTCTGTGGTCTCATTACTTGGGATGCTGAGGCACGAGAATTGCTTGAACCCAGGAGGTGGAGGTTGCAGTGAGCCAAGACTCCAGCCTGGGCGGCAGAGCCAGACTCTGTCTCAAAAAAAAAGGAGAAAAAAAAGCTCCTAGAGAGTGAAAGGAGCTTCTGGGAATCACGTCCAGTCCTCTCCAGGCACAGCCTTGATCACCACGAGCCAGCATTCTACTTTATGGTCAGTAAACGGGTCCTTATCCCCCTCCTTTATTTCCTTTATGTTGCTTCAGTTATTGTTGGTACCTCAAAATCAAGTGGGTCAAGGGAAGGAGAGTAAAAACTGAAATCTGCTCCATTCCATATGCTCTTAATGGCTGGGAGGAAGAAGCTAAAACAGATGCCTGGAAGAAGGTTTTAAACTAAACTGTGGACTCCTGAGCCAGAACATGAATTCTTCACTGGCCGGTGCAGGCCTCGGAGCACCCGCACCACAGTCCCCTATTCTGGGGGTAGTTTGGACCGTGGGTGTCATCAGCACAAATGGGCTACGTGTCCTAAGGTGACTTCCAAGATTAGATGCAGCCTGCCCACGGAGTAAATCCCTCAGGGCACTGATGGAAAACAAAAATCGAACGGGGACCAAAAACTGTAGAAAAAGTACCATCAAGGGCGCAGAGAAAGAAATACAAATATAGTTTTCATTTAGAGAATTTAATGGAATTTAATGGTAAATTCCATTTACCCAGTTTATAAGAACTGTAAGAATAAGAAATTACTAAATGAGAGGAAGTACTAAATATAGGACTAAAAGATTTAAGAGGATGGAGGAGAAAAGAAGGGAAGCATCAAAAAACACAAATCGTAATGGAAAGGATCCAGTGCAGGCCACTGTATAGTGAGAGACCAGAGAGAGGTGACTTGTCCCCACTGACAAATGGAGCACAGCTGGGTCAAGAGCCCAGGACTCCGCACTCAGGAGGATGCACTGTGCACTCCGTTGTCACTGCTTCTCTGGAGGGAGGCCGGAGAGGCTGAGAAAAGTGTAAACACACAGAGGAGGTTAGAGGAGGGGATGAAGATGGCAGAGAAGAGAGGAGGAAGCAGACTGAGAAAACTTGGGAGAGGAAGACAGGAGGAGAGCAGTGAGATATGAATGAGTATCAACTCATTCATTCACAACATTAGCCTTTCAAGAGGATTAACTCTAAACAGACTATTTTCTAACTCACTTGGTTTGAATCACAGCAAGTTACTGCTGCCTTTTCAATTGTTCAACTGCTAATTCTTTAAAAAAATTATTTCAAGATACATTATAGCATTATTAACCATAGTCAGCATGTTGTACAATAGATCTCTTGAACTATTCCTCCTAATTTAACTGAAATTTTGTTGCTTTAATTCTTAAATCTCAAAAGGGTCACCTCCTACAGCTCACTGAAATGTGGGTTTCTGGCAAAAGCAATTATACCTGCAGGCTGGAAGACAGCAAGTGAAGAACCACACATTCTCCATTTCTCAGCCCAAGAAGTCGAGGACATGTGACTACCTGGTCAGTTCTAAGCCAAGTACTGCTAAAAACTATTGTAGGGAGGAGTCTTGTGGGTTGACCAACCGGCCACAGGCATCTGGCTTTTAGCAGTCTACATTTGCTACTAATCATGATTAGTCAATACTTTTCTAATCCAGTGCATGTTGACAAGTTTTCTGCAACGTTATTGACTTCTCAAAGAGGACTTGGTGCTGATTCAACCCAGCTGTGTTCTCTAAGTTCATCAAACATTTGTTTAGTGTGATAACCTCTGACCAGCTTTCAAGACACTTTATTCTTCTTGGCTTCATGAGCTAAGCTACTGTGGTGGAAGGTGTGTTCTACTTAAGTGAGAAACTGACTGGAATGTGCCACTCCACAGCCTCATATAAATCACAACATTCTTCCCAAGCAGTGGTCTGGAAAGCCACTGTGACCTGGCAGAGCTGTGATGCCATCAGCAGGGAGCTCTCCATGGATGGAGAGAAAGGCATCATTTCATCCTTTTATTTCCCCAAAGCGCTGGCTTTTGTCTCGCACCTACCATTCTTATCAGGATGATAAATTAATAAGCAATGCTGGGAGGGACGGCCTGACGAACCAACCCCCATTCCCCTGGATTTCGCCCACTTTAGACGCCTGACTCTACAGCGCTGCATTTGCCTGCCAGAGGCAAGACTGGCAGCCTGGGATGTGCCAAGCGCTTGGCTCTCAATTCAAAACAAAACAGTATAGGAGGGAATTTGTGAGTTAGCTGATTTGCAAACACTAGAGCAAGTCGCCATGTAAACATTTGTCTTGTGTCTCTCGGGTTCTTCCATTTCTCTCAGGCAGCCACCTGGATGCCACCCTGACAGCATCAAAACGTGCTGCTCCTCAAGTGACCAGTGAATCCCTGTTCACACTGAAATAAACCCAGCTTCAGACCATTAAAAAAGAAACCTGAAAGCCCCCCACAAAACAACAAAACAAAACCAAACCCAACCAAAAAACCTTCATGAAGCAGTCACCACAGAGCACATTGGTAAGTATGGTAGGAGAGCCTCCAGTGTTGTTCAGAATCAGTGTTAGGCCAGCAGGTGTGTGCCCAAGTGTCCATGAACATGTCACTTGGAGGGAGCCGTTGCCCAGGGAACCTGAATGAAAAAGGAGCTGCAGCTACACACACACGGGTTGGCTGAGACTGTCCCATCACAAGTACATCCCGACTTTAAATAAAAGTTACTTGGGCATGTGAATACGTTCTACACCCCCAACTCCAAATGCCAGTTTACTGAATCATCACACAAGCCAGCATATACTGGGTCTGACCAAACGTACGTGGTGAGTAACCATTTGGACTCTTCACTGTAAGCCTAAAAGTTAGTTCTTCTGTTTGCCCCCTTTTCGCAGTTGAAGAAGTGTTGGGTGACTTGGCTGAAAATTCCACAGCAGAGCCAGAATCTGAACACAGATTAAGGATACAGATTCTGTCTTCTTTTGCTAAATTCACTTGCTTGGTAATAAAATAAAAAGCCTACATGACAAAAGACACTTAAAGGATATCACAGAGCACTGGTACTCCTATGTCCCCAAAGAACCTTCCCATTTAGCTTTAGTGTGACTACTTATTTCCAACTCACTCAACTCCAGGGTTGAAGCACCAATCATGGTAAATTAAAAAAAAAAAAAAAAAAAGGAGAGTTATAATCAGGAAGTTTGGAAAAATTGGAAAGAGGAAAAAACAACCAATGGTTGAATTATTTTCTTTGAATGTTTTGTAGTATTGCAGGGTCAGAAGGTCCTAACCAAGGTTATCTAATCTAGTTCTTGCCCCAGGCAGGATGACTTAAGTCATCCCAAAGAAAGGAAGGTTCACACAATTTGTAAAGATCTTCCTGAATTCTACCTACCTAAGAGGCAAGTTATAAGCATCACTTGCCTGTCGGAGGCTCCACGAAATGCTCTGGAGCCTTTGAGAGGAAAGATACAGCACAAATGCAAATTATTAACAATATAAATCAGCTCAGTTCCCGTAAGCATAGCCACCTAACCCAGCCGAAGGAATGCATGAGGAGCTACAATGCCAGTCTTTGTCAGAAAATATATTTATTATTGATAGTGAGTGAAGTAAAGATGTGAGTATTCACTATAGAGGTTACATCAGCCAAGGTTGCCTTCATATTGATAAAAATACCATATCTCACTTGTAATCATAAACATTATTCCAGTAGAAGAGGTACATTTTCTCTCCTTTTTGTCTTCTTGCCTGTATAATCACCATAATAAGTTAAAATGAAACAGCTCTTACATAATCAAAGGAGAAAAGAGAGAGAGAGAAACCCAACATGCCACAGCCTCGACAATTCCACCCAGCACTGCGGCCTCCAGATCTGTTTTCTGGCTCTCTCCACCCAGCACTGCTGCCCCCAGATCTATGTTTTCTGGCTCTCTCCTCACCTAACTCCAATTAATTTAGCCCCCCACCCCATCCTACTTTGTTAGGGTGGAGGTTCACCACATGATGGGGCTAGCTCAGAAGAGAAACATTTTATGGTCAGTGGAAGTTGAATAGAAAGTACCAAATGGTGGAGAGGGCTGCCCTTCTCTTTTAATCATCATAAGAGGGTTTACTAATACTGAAGTGCGTCCTTTAATGACTGATCCCTGATCACGGCTTTGGCCCTTCAAACTGCTCCTGTTCAAAATGTGAAATGATTCTGCTGAATCCATTCTTGGTGTCTCTCTTTAGTGGTCTTCTCATTAGTGGTCTTCTCTTCAAATGGGTTATTTTCTTACTAGGAAAAAAAATGTTCCATCTCTGGAATTAACGTTGATGGTGTTTTGCTCGTTCTGAAAGTTTTTATCCTCCCTTCTCAAGCATGCTCTGAAAGACAAACAGAAAGCGTAAGTTTTACTACCAGGAGAGGGCAAAAAATAAATGGCACTAACTATTTAGTATGATATTTTCAAATTTCAATAGATATTGCTTTTCAAATATCTAACTTTAAAAACACAGAAAACAAGGCATATGCTTCCTGTTCTCAAAATATTGCTCCTTTAATCAACACCATCGCTTTATCACGTATGATCTTTAAATGACCCCTCTCACCACCATATGAGTTGAAAACTCCAACAAGGCTGGGCACGGTAGATTACGCATGTGATCCCAGCACTTTGGGAGGCCAAGTAGGGGGGCAGATCACTTGAGCCCAGGAGCTTGAAATCAGCCTGCGCAACACAGTGAAACTCTATCTCTACCAAAAACAAAAACATTAGCTGGGCATGGTGGTGTGTGCCTGTAGTCTCAGTTACTCGAGAGGCTGAGGTGGGAGGATCCCTTGAGCCTGGGAGGCAGAGGGTGCAGTGAGCCATGATCATGCCACTGTACTCCAACCTGGGCAACAGAGTAAGACTCTGCTTCTAATAGAAAGCAAAAGTGCTCCTGGTAGGGGCATTTGGAAATGTTGGGAGCATGGCTGATGGATGCAGTGATTGGGGGAAAGCTATGGCCAAGGCAGTGCAGGGATCAAACCCCAACTCCAAAGGTTCTGAGAGCGAATCTCTTCATTAGACAAACACAAGATTCCTTCTCGGAGAAGGAGAACACAGATGTTCATGTGCTCATGAGGCTGGACAGAGCTACACAGATTAGTACCTATGCCCAGATTGCAGAAACGGACCCTGCATTCTATTTAGTTATTTATTTGGGGGAATTTGGGGGATGTGGATGTAGACAGGAAGAATTCTTAACTATCAGATGAAAACTCTATACCCAGCTGAAATGGGGCTATACTGCCTCCATTTTTAGAGGTCTTTAAGAAGAAAAAAGTGTTACTTTCCCCTCTAGTTTTGCAACCACTCAGAGAGGCAAGGTGAGGCCGAGGTTGCCTCCAGTTCATCCATTACCACCTGCCTCCCGCCAGCACTCACCCTTCCAGCCATCCACACACCTGGCTCTCCACTGAGCTCCTACCAGGTACCACTGCACTCAGTTCAGTGCACTGGGGAAACCAATACACACACCGGTGGAACATTCAGGAATAATAAAAGGTAATAATTTGCTAACTTTTATTTATTTGCTAACTACATGCTAAAATTTATTTTATTGTATATACAGCATAACATTTAATAGGAACAAAATAGTATCTCGTAGAAAGTAATTTTTTCCTTCCTTCTGTTTCCCAGTTTCTGTGTCCCCTTCCAGAGACGGTCACAGTTCACAAGAGGAATGGTTCTGCCTGGTGCAGAGGGCAAGCCTGTAGCTGGAGGGAGCAGGGAAGGCTTCTCCAAAGACCTTCCACCATGGAGAGAATCCAGGGGGAGGACTGGCGTGGGACTGGGAGGAACGAGGGGAGAAAGCAGTGGCCAGGATTCAGGGAGAAAACAAGTCCAGCACACACGGAATCCTGAGGGGTGAGGCCTACCTGGAAGAAAGAGTACATGTGCAGGACTGACCAAGAGTAAGGGTGGAAAGAGGGCCCAGGACAGACGCCAGGCTGAGACATATCCTGCTAGCCACAGAAAACCTAGAGGAATGCTTTTACGTAGGAGAATGGCATTTAGGAATGTTAACCTGACATCCTCGGCATGATGGATCCAACAGAGGGGAGTCTGCAGGTAGGAAGGCCAAGGAGGAGGCAGATTAGAAACCAGACAAGGGCGGAAACAAGAGCTAGAGCTACACGGGAAGAAAAAGGGAAATGGTGACACCCAAGGTATGGGAGGATCCTCGGTGACAAGGACAGTGATGGGGTCACCAAAAGAAACAGGGAAGTCAGTGAGATCCTGAGAAGGAGGAGGATGACTTAAATTTTGGGTTTGTCAGACAATTTTGGGTGAGACATCCAAAATGGAAATGCCTAGAAGGAAGTTGCAGGCCTTCTGAGGTCAAAAGTCTCTAGACACAACGATTTACGGTCAAAAATTTAAAAATGATTGAAATTAAGGGGACAGAACAGAAAGAGTAGAAGTCAAACAAGATGGTGTATTGGGTTACAGGAGCAAAGGGTGGATAGATTATCCTAAAGTGTCCATCATTATAGGTTTCTAAGAAGCCTATGTCCAAGGCCACAAAATAAGATATAAAGGCAGGCAAACTTAGACATAACACACAGAGTGGTCAGAGAAACAATGATTATGTCACACAGAAAGTAAATTTAAAAAGCCAGATGCATTTAGAGAAAACAGGAAAAAGCAAGGAGGTGCAGTGGAAGATTCTGCTCAGCAGAGTTGTCCTGTAAGAACTCACACTGGAATATGAGGCACGAGCCCCATGTTCGTTGGGAAAATAACACACTGAGCAGCCACCATGTAAGAGACACCACCTGGCAGTGTCACAGCGTCACAGCATCTCAGCTATGCTTGCCTGCTTGTGAACTGATCTGTGTGAGTCTCTCCAAGTACATGGATGATAAGTTCTCTGAATTCCAGGTATATAGACAACCTCACTACATCATGCTTTATTAAATACAAAATGGAAGCCAGTATAAAGCAGATCTATACTGAGCCTATCTAAAGGAATTCAGTTACCGGAGAGAGTGATGTCTTTATAAATGATGGCACTGGGCCATTTGCATTTGGGGGGTTATAGGTTCACTGCTTTCTTCAACACACTGATGGGAGCTTGGAGCTGTCATCTGCCTGGTCAAGATTACATAGCTGTGCCCCTCTCTACAATTTTGGGCTTAGGGTTATAAGGATAACCACATGACAATGCACCTCTTTTCAAATATTGCAAAATAATCTGCAGCTGCCACAACTTAATGAAGCAATAGTTAAAGAGTGTTATCGCGAGTCTAGAGATTTTTTTTACTGTTCTCCCTGCAACCTCAACCAAATATAGATGGGTAATTTTTCAACCAAATCATATCATGCTAAGAATGTTAGGCTATCTTTCAGAAAGAGGGACAAGATGGGACCTGGCTGGTCTGAGGATGAGCAGGCCAGTCTCACATAAAGACACTAAATAACATTTTATAACCCCTTTAACCACATTCACAAAATACCCTGTTACATGTATTAAAATTCTGATCCTCAAAGACAGCACAGTGGCTCAACTGATTTGTGGTGACTCCTTGAAGACATGTGGGACCACCACAGAAAAGCACCAGGGCTGATCTATAAACATTTTGTCAAACTGCACTCACTTGCTACCAAAGGGTGGCAGAGGTGGTACAAAACCATCTCAATTCTATCTGAGAAATTAACAAACACAATGGCAGGCTGGATTTTTAAAAAAGATGAATTCATCTGTCAAACATTCTGGGTTATTATTATATTCCAGCTATGCAACAAAACCTGCTCCAACCCAGACCCCAGGGCTTTTGGCTGGAGGGATCTGAAGGTCTGGTGGGGTCTGTGTTATTCAGCTTTCACCTTATAGGTTCTTCTACTGTCTCTATTGGTTCTGTAAGTAGCTGCTGTTGGGCTGAATTTCAACGCTGCATAAATTTAACACTGCATAAATTAACATAGGAAATTCCCTAAAGAATGAGGGAGAAGCTTTGCAAGTTATAAAAAATTGCTTCCTTCATTTAACGAACTGCTAACACTTAATCTTAATGTGGAGAAAGAGATTCCTTGCTTTTGCTCATCATTCACGTATTTGGGCCTGCAGAAACTCCTTTTATAAACAGCTGGGTAAATCACCAAAAGAAGAGAGTGGTTCAGGCATGAACACTGCTCTTTTCCCAAGTCTTTTTCTCATTCAAGCCACTGAGGAACAACCGGAGCTCACAAATAAGAACAGCGCCCCTGGAGACCTAAGACTGCACGTCATTTCCGCTTATTAAAACCTTCCTAACCATCCTAACCACTTGCCTCAAACATTTTTGTTACGCAGTAATCTCATCCACTGATTTTTGAATCACGGCTTTCTTGGAGGGGTTGACTATCATAGCAGCATGCCAGCTACTGTCTGTGTTGATAATTTAAGAGAAATGGTGGCAACCCTGGGTTGCTAACCAATCATCACGAAGAGAAAAGTGGTTTGTTTTTTAAGATACCACTCAGGGTGCTTGTCTCTGGGTGAGCTTACCCAGTGCCTCACCAAGACTTCAGGCCTCATAAAGCTGGGTAGAGAAGCAGGAAGGTTTACCTAACCAAGGAAAAATGAAACTGGAGATGTGTCCTGGCACAGACCTGGTCTCAAGATATGAGTTTCACTAAGGAGGGTCAGGAAAAGTGGGGAGTGGGAGACACTGGAGCTTCTAAGGAAAAAGAATGAGAAGACTGTGCATGAGACAGGAAGGAAAAGTCATCTATAAATTGAATTTATGGGAAGCAAAAAGCGAGTTTTGCTTGTGCACCAAGTACTGTTCTTCACTACCTGGAAATCTGATTAGTTCACTTATTTTGTTTTCAATATGTGTCTATTCCCTGCAGCAAGAGCTGTTTTGTTCTTTGTTCCTCCTGCTTTGGAGGAAATACAAGTTAACTTTTTTCTGCCTGGATCTTGCTTTATATCTTCTATGACAAATGCTCTGTATAATATTCAAATTAAGTTACAAGTAATTAACTGTTTATACAGCTAGCTGCAATAACAGACAAAACACTAACGTACTGCAGTTCTAACTCTTGAAGGACGAGCACGAGAAAAGAAATACCTATTAAGAAAAATGAAAATCTATTACCATGGTTGTATTTCTTCTATTAAACTCAGATTTTAAAAAAAGAGAAAATGTCATGAAGCAACGATTACTCTCGGAAAGTGGTTTAGAAAAGGATTCCTATGATGGAACAGGCTGGGGTAAGAAATTTAAAGTTTGGAATTTTGTTTGCTTTGATCTGACTCTAAATTCAAAGGCCTGCCCTACCAAAAGGTGGGAAATCTATTATGAAATACCCACGCGTCAGTCACCCTGTGTACCAGCATCCCATCTGGGC